AGGGAGAGGGAGACTGGGAGGATTCTTGTCATTAAAGTACAACTATCATACTCGAACAGGGAGAGGGAGACTGGGGGATTCTTGTAATTAAAGTACAACTATCATACTTGAACAGGGAGAGGGAGACTGGGGGGATTCTTGTAACTAAAGTACAACTATCATATTCACCATTCTAGTAACCCTTTCCAACAATTCAATGTCTTTCCTAAGGTAAGGAGCCCAAGACTGAACATTATTCCAAATGTGGCCTAACCAGTGACCTATATAATGAAATTATAACCTCTTTAAACTTGTATTCAATATTTCTATATATACAACCTAAAATGCTATTTGCACTACCACTAGCAACAGCCTGAATGGTTTTAGATACTGATTAACACCAAGATCCCTTTCTTTCATGACACTGTTAAGGTTATTTCCATCCAAATTATACTTATAATTCACATTATGATAACCCACATGCATTTATTATAATTAAAACCTATTTGCCATTTATTTGCCCAACTCACTAAATGATCTAAATCCTTTTGTAAATCAACATCATCCTCTTCACAGCTAGTAACACCCAAGTCCTTAATATCATCTGAATATTTAACTATTTTATTGACCATTCCTTTCTCTATGACATTTGTGATATTAATCCAGTTTGACTGAACTTCATTTGTAACAACTTTCTTTCATCCAGTCACTTTTCTATCCAATTTGCTAACTTATCCCCCACACCTATATAGATAATGCTTTTTACAAGCCTTTCATATGGCACCTTATCAAATGCTTTCTGAAAATCCAGATACACCAAATCTACACTCTTACCCTCATCTACATAAGTAGTAACCTTTTCAAAGAATGTCAAAAAGATTTGCAAGTAGTACCTGCAGTCTGAGAATATAGCATTATAGAATTTTGTATGTACATAATACTATATCTTGTTTAGCTCTCTCTCTCTCAAGCTAAAGCCCTCAGTTTGATAAGTGAAATTTGACTTCTTTCTGTAAATAGTAATACTCTCCTAAAGTTTAACCTGTAATGTTTACTAGTTCTTAATAAACCTGTTTGTAAGTTATGAAAATTTGGGGAGTTAGCTATCCAGTAAAGATTTTGAGTATAAATGAAGATTTCAAAGTCAGAGGACTCAGGTTCATTTTGCAATAGATATCTTGTCGAAGCTGTAGTCATTCAGTGGACCTATCTCATCATTCAAGATAAACAGTTTAATCTTAATATACCACACTTACACGATATGTTCATTAATCTGTTAAACAAGGTTTAAATTGAATTCTGTTCACTGAAATATTTAAAATAACGACAGCCAGTAAAGTACAACTCTAAGTGGAATATACTTTTTTTGTTTCTAACTTGTAGTTTGCAATTTTTGATTTTATTAATTTCTTACCTGAAACTTTTATGCACTTGTGAATTTGGTTTATTATGTAATAGCTCGTACACATCATTTGTCAATAGATCATCATAGCACTTACCAAACACTGACTATTTTTTAGCATTTTGTTCATAACATATATGTAATTAAACATAGTAGTTTTAATGTTTTTCTGTAAGTTATAAAAAAATTATGATTTTTCTAGAAGCTGACTATTTCATTCAATCATACATTTATCAATTTGTTGAATAGTACATTTCTATTTGTGCTAATTTGGTTAAGTTATTGAGCTGGATGCAAAAAGTGCATTGTATTATCACAATTTCATTCAATCACAACAGAATTTAATGAACTAAATATACTATACTATTGTTACATCTCTGTTCATTTGTTAATTTTCCATAAAAATTCTTTCCGAAGAAACTTTAGCGATACAAGTCCTTTCTTAAATAAAACTAGTTTATTCTTTCTCAATACAACTTTGAAATTCACTTAATTGCCACAGTCACGCTATAACTTAAACAAACGCTATAATTCACAACGAACGATTCACGCGCTTGACTCAATTGTCCGTCTCTGTCTGCAATTCAATTCCATTGTTGCCGTCATTTCTTGGCGGTCTTATATACAAAAATACCGCACATCTAGTAAACACTCGAGCATTCAAGAACCTTCGAGAATATCATGACGTGTTACTAGCTTCACGTGACTTCCTCTGTCGTAACACTATGTTAAAGTATGTTCAGACTACACTAGAATACCACAAGTCATCTTATATTTGCCGAAAATAATTTTCTAAGTATGAATGAAAGCTGAGGTGTAATAAAGATTGACCACTTTTTTTCCTTTTTTTTTTTCAAGTACAGCAATTTTCGGTCAAAAGTTGTAGTTTTTAATGTAAAAATTGCAAACCAATACCATCCAGATTGAAAACTGATTTATTGGTTACAAATTAATGTCATCCAAAGGAGTACATATGCAATTATGTTAATATTTATATTCTCATGTTTTTTTAATTAATAATGACATACACATATATATATATCAGGAAATAAAATTACACACACACACACACACACACACACACACACACACAATATATATATATATATATAGAGAGAGAGAGAGAGAGAGAGGGATTACCATGATCTATGATTATTTTTATTGGTGAAATATATTTATGTCGAGAACTGAAAATAAAAAAAAATATATATATAAAAATCTCAAAATTAAATGAGTAGACAGCTTATCTTCAATAAAAGTATTTTTGAGTAAAACAAATGTTATGCAAAAACATTCCACATTTTTGCTCAGACTCAAAACTGAGAAACAGAAAAATGTTACTATGAGATAAAGTCATAGCCCATAACTGGACTGTCAAAGAGTATAAAAAAACAACATTTTAACTATATGAGGTATATAATTACTGAGCATAGACAAAAGATTAACAAACATATACTGATTAAACAATAGTTTCTTTCTTGAATTTGTGAACTATACATTTGTAAAGTGAACTAGTAGCCTGAAATAAGGTGAAAAAATTGTAGATTGGGTATTATTAAATTCTGTTTAGCCTGAAACCATTTAAATAGAAAATTTAGAAAAGAAAACATTTACCACTAGTGTATAAATCTGAAAACGTTTTTGGTGGTCCATAACGAGTTAAAAAATCTTTTATTTCTTTACAAAAATTCTTAATGTTATCTTCGTGAACTCTTGGAAACTAGTTAAGTAACTAAATTTCATAATATATATTGCTTCATCTGAACTTCTTAAAAACCAAAGATTAGTGGCATAATGCAACACTGTTGAATACAAACTTTTTTTTTCACTGATGGAGAAATATAAATTTCTGCATTATTCAACAGGAATACACTTTTTACACTACTTATGTACATTACCTATACAGTTTTAGGTGTGTTGATACAAAAATGCAGATACAACTTTGAACTTTGTGGATTCATTTGTTAATTTAATTTTTTTTTTCTAGTCCACCTAAAATATCACATACTACAATAGGCACTTTCATTATAAAACAATTTGATCTTTCTTTGGGAAGCACACAACTTCATTTGCTGATAAATACAAAGTTATTTTTATAGATTCAGAAGCACAAAAAGGAAATTAACAAATATAAAAACTTTAGTCAATTAGTACAAAAAAAAACATGATGTCATTACTTACTAGAAATAGAGAGTTGTACATAAAGTAATGTCATTTTCGTCAGTTAAAACATAACCAACAAATTGTCCTGATCTTGCATGTTATATGAAATGTCTTAAAAACAAAAGGAGAAATATACATTTTAGTCAGAGATAGCTAGCTTATGGTGAATTACATTTCTTTTTTAAGCGGAAGCTACAAAATATTAATTGTTAACTACATATATGAATATATCTAATTACTTTTGTTAATAGTTCAACAAACAAATACAAATTTTATTTTTTACATAAACAGTTATATAATTACTATTAAAAATATTTCTGTCAGTCACATTTTTGAGACTCTGTAAAACAAACATCATTAACATTTAATTATGAGAGTGTAGCAGTTTTACATACAGCTGATTTTTGGGTTTGATTGGGTTCAAGTTGGTGACAAATTTACAAATATTTAGGAATATCATAACAAAGTAATATAATTTCATGGAACTATCTTATAAGCATTTTGTAAATTTTAATGTTGACTCCAATTTCCATTTTGGTACTATTCCAGTAATTACACTATTCGTTGGCAGAAAATACATTTTCAGAATGCAATTAAATACTTGAATATTTAGTACAAATCCACTGTATCTTTAAAGTTACCTTTTAAAAATTCAATTTCTAAACAAGTTACATAAAAACATTATTGGTAAAAAGAGTTAAAGAGCTTTAAATTTTACCAGATGAAATTTTCCTACTTTTAATATAGTCCAAGCGTAATGAAATAAGCAAAAAAAAAAAAACCAGGACATATTGGATGTTAAAACTTAACTGCAAGTTAACAAATAGTGATAAACTTTGAATGTACAACATGGTAGTTTATCAATACCTACTAATAATAATACCTCAGAATAACTAGCACATGTTACATTAAATCTATTTTTCTGTATATTCTTAACATTGAATTTAATTTCAACACTTTGAAAAGTTTACATGTTCATTTTCTTTTATGAAGCTAACGAATTGATACAATATGTTTAGAAACAAGAGCATCTTATCTAATGAGAAAACATAGGTTTTAATATTTTCTTAAATTTATACAATTTTCTTTATCACATCAACTTAACACATAATTTAAGACTAAATCCTCAAATAAATACTAAAGTTTTGAAATGACTTAATAAACAGATACCTTAATTAATGTACAATTTAAACATTAATCACAACTATTTACATTTTTAACTATTTGTAACTTTTTAAACTTTCTTTCAAAATTTCACAACATACATACATCTACACAAAAATGAAACATCCAGTAATGATAGAAATAATTAATCTATACACTTCTTTTGTGAAGTCAAACTATAACTGATACTTATGTAAAGTGTACTGGAAATCTGTAAGAAACTTTATCATTGGCTTTGACATACAATCAGGAATATTTCTATTACTCTTCACATTATAGGCTGTAAAAACAACTATGAATTTTAATTAAAGACTTCTAAAACCAAATATTTTATCAATGTTAAACTATGCCTAGTATTAAAATACATAGTTAAAACTGAACACAAAGAGTGAAATATTTTTCGTGAAGAATAAAAATTCACAAGTCCTTTTAAGTTAGAATATAAGTATTAACTTTCTGGGTACAAAAGAAAACAAACTATAATATTAGCATGTATGATATATGTATTTTATTTTTCAGAATTAAATTCACCATTAAGTTCATAAAATGTAAAACTAAAAAAAAAGTATTTTCCTTAAAAGTAATTTTTGAAAACCTAAGTATTAAAAACAATGAAGTAAAAACACATAAAGTGGCTAGTGTTGAGAGCAATAAAAATGAGTTATGCATGCTGTTTAAGCTGAGTTTTATGGTAGCTTAATCTTGACAACTAACCAAAAAACATAAGTAGTGGAATGGTAAAATTTGAGAAATACACCTTATTCTCAGGAAAAAGGGCAGTAAGTCTAACAAGTTGTTAGTCCTGATCATCACAAGGATCCAAAGCACAAATTATAGCTTTCATAAAAGCTGCTGCTACTAAGGCTGAATAGGGTTGCCATTCCTTGTTCTTGGTTCCATCTTTGTAATCCGATATTCCTCTGATAAAAGTATAGTTGTCTTTACGATTTCCATAGATAGATTCCACGACAGCATCAAATTCTGAATCAAAAGCCAAAATACCCTGCTGATGAGCAAATTCTTGTCTCACTGCATCATCTTTCATCAATACCCTTCCAGATGCCACACCCCCAAAGTGGATCATGGACTTTCCTGGTTCTCGATGTTCTACTGTTCCTTCGGGGGCTTGAGGATGACCAACCTCAATGACATCTTTTCCCCCAATGGACATGAAAAGTTTGTCTGTATCTGATGAAGGTCGGTTAAAGTCAGCTTCTTGGTTGGCTAACATTTCTGAAGCATATCTGATGTAATCTTCCCATGGTCGCTGTTTAGCATCAAGTAAGCCCTGAGTCCACAGTTGTTGTGCTATTTCCTGTAAACAGAGGCTTGGTGGACACCATCTCTTGATGTTATATTTGTCATTCAGTGTGCCATTTGTTGAAATTTTACCTTCAGGAGAGTTTTTGGTCTTTTCACAATACATGTAAATGAATTTATCATTTTGATCCTCTGGAGATGTTGACACAACAACATCTCCCAAACGTACATGCTTAGAATAATTTGTATAATGAGGAACACCTCCTCCAATACCAACAAGAAAAACATATTCAACTTTCTGGAAGCTCCCTGTAAGAAAAAAAAAAAAGAGAGAGAAGATTATTGAATGTGTAACTTACAATTAGATTTATTTTAATCCCTTGACTAAAGTGTGAAAAAAATCTCAGTAAAACAATAATGAGATATCACTTTTAAGGGAAATTAAATGATAAATAACTCACATTAATAAAAAAAGGTGTTCTTCTTCTAACCCACCTGGTAAAAACATATCAGTTTATTCAGCTTTTACAAATCAGTTCTAAATGGTTTAAAAAAGTGGGGTTCGAAGTGTGCCTGCCCCAACTTTGTATATACCACCATTCAACATGATATCATGCATTTGATATCCGAGTAATCAAACTTTCATGTTATCCTACATTACTGATTTCATTTTCACAACAGTTCATGTTAGAGTACAAAAAAATACCAGATTCAGTATACAGTTTACATCAGAATTTAAGAAGTTGTAGAAATTTAATTTGAAAACTGTATGATGAAAAAAGTATTTTTATTCTTTATATGAACATCACCTTTCACTCTGACTTGTTACAGTTTGATTGACTTTGGTATTTCACACACACATATCTCTAATACAAAAACTTTAATTACATATCTGATTTTTTGTGTACAATAGACTTGCACTTTGACTAAAAGCTTGCCTCATTTTGATAAAATAAGAATTATAGTCAACATTACTTTTCCAATACGGAGTCAGTCCAATGCACCAACCCAATGCACATTCAGTTTATTAATATAATATTTGAAGAAAGAGACTATTAGAAGTTTAGCATTTAATCTCAGTTTATTCAAATTACAAAGGGTCATTAAAAAAATATGTGCTTTGCAAATACTCGTATATAGGGCATGACTTTTGAATAGTGTTGTGTAAAAGGATCTTTAAAAGGATCAGGTTTCAACACAGAAGAATGATTTTTAAGAAAAATCTATAAATATAATAGGAGTTGGTTGGTGATTTTATGAATACCAGGTCCTTTATAAATAAAGGATTTAAGATATTTTAGAACTCAAATATGTAAATAAATTTAGGAATCATCTTAGTTCTTTTGCTCTGTACACATCAAGTTTTTAGTAAGTAGAAAGAGTGATGTTACTAATTAAATGTTTAACATGCTTTTAAAAAAGAATAGTAAAGTATGAAAGGAATGTGACCTCCTAAACAATATTACACTATGCTAAAAATGCTGCAAGGTAAATTTGAAAGTTTTCAGACCAAGTGTTTAATTATTATATTACAGATTTCTTTCCACCAAAGGTAAAACTAAAAATATAATCTATGACATAGAGGCCTAATGCATTCTTTAATTCCATGTGCCTTTGATGAAAAGAAATCTTTAATATAGTCCTTTTACCCTGGGGAGAAATTACTACTAACACTGGAGACCCAGAGTATCTTGAACCTCTTAGAATTTGGTACCCTAGGCAACAAGCTGTCTTTATTGTTTATCCTTATGCTGGGCCTGTTATTGGCAGATATCTTATAAAACTTGAAATGTATTTACATAGTTCAATGATAAATGCATAAGGAAACTTTGATCTTAATTTTAACTCTAACCCATACAAACTAATGAATAATTGCAGAAAAAGTTTTATGGTTAAGCAATAGATAAAATCTTTAGGCAACATTTCATGTTGATTCTACTCTTATCTACTTCATTTTGCTTGAATGACTCCAATAAAACAATATGTACTAAATCTGGTCCCAAGAACTTTATCATGATGAAAGTTAAATAAATTCAACATAAATATTTATATTTCAGACTTGATATTTTTCATGATCCTTCAATAGATAATGAGAAGCAGATGTTATTTTGGGTACTTGGAAGATGCAAGTTTAAAAATCTATAGCTTTAACACTAACTGATAAATCACAAATGGATAAGAATGGCTTGCAGCTTAGATACATGTATGGCCATACACAAAATGACTTAAATTAGTCCATATACAAGAGCACCACACCATTTATGCACATGCATAAGGTATTTTTACAAAGAAAAAGTTTCAAACCATATCAAGATAATAAAGAAGTAAAACAAAAAAAGTTAGAAAATAACTTAGGAAATGAACAACTTTCTCTGTAACTACAGAGTGTTATGGGGGCACAGCTTCCAGATACCTCGTGCAAGTGGTTAATTATTTTCTACTGGTGCCCCTACTACAAATATATATCATTGTCATGTTTTTTTCTTTTTTAATAATCTCATACTTTACAGCAATATAAAAACCTACAGGTAATTAATGCTACAGACAAGAGAGAAAATAACCATTTTGTAAATGGGGTAAGCTAAGAATGTTTGATTCTAGTTTTCTTGACTAAACCACCTCTCTATTGATAAATATATTAGCCCTATGATATAACAGTTAATATATTTTGTTAATATAATCTACATTCAGAGATAATAATAATGAAAAGTTACCCAACAGACGAGTTGTTGTGTTACCAGCAGCAATCATGGCCCCTCTGTGGTGTCCAACAGCAGGTAGTTTTGTTGCTACAACACGATGTGCTCCAATGTTACCAAGAGTATAGACATTGGACTCTCCTGTAAAACAAGTTGTGAGATAGAGAATTCACTTTTATTTTGTTATGGTTTACTATTCATTTATTATTCCTTCTATCATTTAGTTCAGCTATAAATTTTTAGTGACATTAAAGCACTAACTCACTTTTATATAGAACACATTGATTTTGAGTATGGGGTCATTTCATGTCAAATCACCAAAGGCATGATACCCAACATCTCATAATTGGCCAATTTTTTTAACTGATGGTACCTATCTATGAGTTAGGTATACCTTCAAATTTCTTTCTCCTTCCGGAAATAGAAACATTTGAATTTTAGCCAAATTTGGTCAAAAATTGCTTGTGGTGGCCATTTTGGATTTTCACAAATACCTTATGCCATTGTAAGTATTTTCATAATTTTCCCACCCCCTAATTCAAGTATAAGGAATCCAAATATTGAAATGGCTTTTACTTATATCCTAAAACAATCCCCTCAGTTACCCTATAAACCCAACTACTATAGAATTTTAAGAGTTACCAAAAGGGTTCGTGCCTTATTTTTAATCATTGGGATCCAATGTTTAACAAAACTTATCAACAACAAATTTAGAGCAAATACTCTTCAAACCATGTAGTTTACTATATTAAAAACCTGAGATGGTTTTTTCCTTGTTCCAAAGTAATAGTCCTCTGAAAATTGACTAAATGATAAAGCAGATATTATATTTCACATGAAATATTGATAATTGCTGTTCAATTTTAAAGAGTGCTTAAAACTATATTGAGGTTAATTTTATAATAAAAGTGAATATTATCTACATGAGCTACAGAAGATTGATGAAGTTCTAAAGTCAGTTTCAATGGTCTAACCAACAAGTTATTGCACTGAAATGTCTGAGCATCTTTAAATCTGGTCAATGATATCCTGTTTTTTTCAGAAACTCGTCAGTCTTTTTTTATATCAATCTCCTTTAAATTGTATTGATGACAAGTTGCTGTTACAGGTGCATTTATTGTGCAAAGAATGTGTTTCGAGTACAAAGCAAGTATCCTCTCTCCTTGGCCAATAGGATCTGGCTGGATAATTTGAATGCATAAAGTTTACAAGAACATCCCTATTTTCAAGGTCAGTTTCATTAACAAATCCAACCCAGTATTTCTCATCATAATTGCAAAGAACAAAGTCAGAATCTTTTATCTCTTCAGAAGAAATTTGGTCAATGCTTTTCGCTAAAATCAGGTCAGATGTAAGTGTAAATTCCTCATCAGAAAAGACATGCTTTGTACCAAAGATGCTATTAGATAGTGGTATGAATTGGTGGAAACTTCGAGTTCCAGGCAATGCATTACTTTGCTCAAATCTTTCTTTCAAATATTTCCACACCTCAGTCATCTCATCTTGTGAAATAAAGAATGTTATTACCCCTTTAATTTCATCTCTGCAAAACTCTGAAACTTCCCTTGCTGACAAGATTTGGTTTGATAATGGTTTCTGAAGACTGGCCCTTGCAGTTAAGCATTTAATTGTTCCTCCAAGATCGTCACAAGGAGATTTACCATGCAATGTGGCAAAAAAGTTTCAAATACAATGTACTCCAAAATCACTCTGATGAAGGCATAGATTAATAAGATTTTTGCAGTTTTTATATTGTCCCACACAACTATTACTAAAATAGTGCACTGTCTTAACCTTACCATTTATCTGCTTCTTGATGTAGTTTATTGTTTGGCTTATGACTCTATAAACAAAACCTACGTCATGAGTCAAGTTGTCTGATAGAGTGATGAGTTCCAAGCCACTAGAATCATGAAAAGAAAGTAAGCAACATTAAAGTGGACAAATCTTCTCCTCAACCTGAAGAAGTCCAAAAGGCAACATCCCAGGCTCGAAATAACCAGATCATTTATGCCTTATTCAAGTTAAGGAAACAGAACTCATCTAGTTTGGAATTATGAACACTCATCCTCACTCACCAACCATATGAACAAGTACATTCCACTTGTCCCTGGAATCATGGAGAGGACGTGGAACAGCTGTGCTCAACCAAGGACCCAGGATGGGACCACTATGCATTCGGAATTACGAGGAGACAGTGGAACCTCTTCCATGAACAACATACTGAAAACCAATATTGATAAAAAAGAGGGACCACACAAAACCTAACCAGATAGCTGAGTGTCAAATCTGAACTGGTATTATGAGTAGGCTCCCATGTAGGCTGGTGCCGCTCTTACTGACATATGGGAAAAATTATCCAGGGACCTGGATAGGAGTGCCCCAACTTCGCCCTCTTCTCCGAGAGTGGAGGAGTTCACTCTAGTACTCTGAAGGAAAAGCCTCTGTCCTCCATCCCACTGACTGAAAACCGGGTGTGTTAAGGACTCCTTAGCTCCATTAGTAGAATCTGGGGGGTAATGCGCATTATATAGTCCTGAAGAATGGTGTTCTGGAAACAGTACAAAAGGTGAACCAAGTTTCCTAAATTTGTAAAAGCAAACTGACCCCAATTTATTCAATCCAATGATCTGCAGGGATGGTCAGGATCCCCTTATGCTTTACTTATGATAGTCTATGAGTGGCAGTCCAGCATAGTACAGTAATACCACCCAGTCATGGACTTCAAAATGTCAGAAATATATCAAGATTTATCTGATTTTCATACATGTGCATTTACCATCCAAAAGTAAATAGATTATTGGTGTGTACATCTGATCTGTCAGCCCACCTGGAAAGAATTAGATCTATGTGATGTTTAAAAACTCTTGTATGTGCCTTCATGAGACATGATATAGACAAAAAACAACAGTTCCAAAGCATCATAAAGTTCTGATCTTTTCCAGACAGACTGCCCATTCAGAAGAATGCACCTTGAATCAACATCTGTTTATGAAATATGTTAAATGGACTATTGTTCAAAAAAATTGTGCAGCCTATCACAATTTTTGAAATTACCAAAATAACTTTAATTCATTTAATTAGAATTATATGAAAATATGTTGGTGGCAAAGAAAATTAGTTTTATTTAATTAAGTATATTTATTTTAATAATTAGATGTTATAGAATATACATTAGTTCATTTCTACTACTTAATCTTAAAGGATTTTATTGGTAGGTGACACAAGTTATGGTTTAAGTGCCAAAAGTTGCTAAGCATTGGAAACCGATAGACCTAACATTTGTGACAAGAATCACATAAACTACAGATTTTTTTCCCACACTCTTCTTAATTTGCTCATTTTGTATTGCACAATCAGAGGGGTACAAAAATAGCATTTCAGATGCATTTTTTTGTCTCCCACAAGTCACTTCCCAAGAGGTCTTTCATTAATTCAATACCAAAAATCATCAATTGAGCTGGACAATGAGAGACAAAATCCTTTTGTCAGCCAAACTGATGAGTTCTAGTATTGAACAAAATGCCTCTTTGGCAACAACTTGTGACAGAGAAAATGACAAATCTGGAATGGTATTTTTACACAACTATCTAGATAATAATTAATTTTATTAAATGTACAATGTATTATGATTTTAAAGAATGTCTTAACTTTTAACATTTTAAATATACTTTTGTTAAATATAAACTGTACAGTAGTAGTTTCAATTAACTGTCATTGTTGTTTTCAAGTTTAAAGTATGTGTTTGCATCTAAAAGTCACTAAAATTTTGTATCTTTATCTTTCTTTTAGTAAAGTATCATATAAACTGATGGTTATTTGCTATAAAAATAAGAGCAATAGTTACATCTATTCTGTTAAACTTCTACTTTTGTTTAAATATAATTTTATACACTATCTCACCTTCAGTTTTGTACCTGACATAAGTATCTTTATTCTCTATCATGGCATCCACCGCAACTTTCTCACAATATTGAGCTGTAATGATGGCAATGGAAGGTTGCTGGGAACTAATAACTGTTGGAACCTGACGTACCATTTTCACCTCTAAAACAAAACAAAGCATCAAATAAAAGTTCCTGTTATAATCACAAGAAACATGAAAATAGATAAAAGCAGAACTTAATGTCTAATACAACAATTAAGAAATGTAAATTCCATTTTTTTATATATACAAGTTTAATGTAGATCATTTTCATAATTATCAGTAAGAGATCTAATTTCCATACTGCTGAGACTACAAAGCACTATAAATACACACACACACTTGTATAGTTAAACACATATAAAATCAAAATATGTGCAATTCAATATCAAATCCATTAAATTCATACT